GAAAGGATTCTTTCCATGCTGGAAACAGTTAGCTTTATCTTCTTGTTGTTTTCACAGCTCTCTTATGTTCTTAAAAATATGACTTTTGCTATTTCTCTTTTCTTCCAGTTGCTGCAGAGCAGGAGTGTTGGCCTCCCGTAGCTTTCCACAGGCTACCCAGAAGCAAAAGCCCAGGAATCACCTTCTGCATCAGAGTCACGGATGCCACGTTTTCCCACGCAGTCTCGCTTTCTAGGACATGAGAGTGTTTATGCTGTAGCATGTCTGAAAGAGCGCTCCACTGTGGTCTCTTGGCTTTCTGCCATGCTGCGGTCACATTCTGCCAATGTTGGTAAGGTACATTGCTATTTGACAATAGCATTCCTTCATTCTTCCATTTTTTTTCCTTCAATTGAATCACAATCACATATTACTAGAAGTTAATCAGCTTGTGTTTTAAGTCTGTAAGTGATTTCTGACAAACTGAAGTTTAATATCCTTCACTGTAACTCTGCACTGCACATACATCGGTCACGCTAGACTCTTCTAGGTTGAAATTTCCTTCCTTTATTCTGAGAATATTAGCAAATTCCGCTCACTTCACTTATATTGTCTGGCATGTATTATCAACATCAACCAACAGTGCATGTAACTTAAACGAAGTGACAAAATGTGAACTGTGACCCAGTTTGTGCACATAGGCAGTGGCGACTATTTCCTTACTTGCCCAGCTGGTGTCGATTGTGAAATGCATTTGATTTCGGAAATGCAGTAAGTGCTAAAGCTAGAAAGGTGAATAAAACAGATACATCCCCACTCTCAGGGAGTTTGCAATTTAATGGGGAAGACAAATATCAATTAAATATGTGTAAAAAGTCAATTATATAATTAAAAGAGTATAAAGTCTCCTGACACACAGAAAGCAAATAAATTTTTGTTGGACTGGTTAGGAAGAAAGGATAGGATGTGATTGTAGCAAAAAAAAAAAAAAAAGCTGTATATTACTCAGGATATCTTTTCTGCTGCCATGACATTGATTGAAATGACAAAAATAAGACAGAATTCTTTTCTTTTCTCACATAGCAGGCGGGTCGGTGGTCCAGGACTGCCAGAGTGGTTCTGCCCCATGCAAGCCAGGTTCATCCTACTGTTTTGCCATCCTCTTGCTGGAGTACATTTACTTTAAATCCAAAATTGAACTACATTTGTAGAAAGAATCTAATCTAATTTGCATCCAGAACTCTAACAGTGAAAGAGACTGGGAAACATAATTTCTAACTGTCCAGTCTCTGCTAGGAAAAGAGTGAAGTGCAAGCTGAATGGGCCGGGAGTGCCACAGATGCCATTACTATTCCCATTTCAGAGACGAGGAAATGGACTTTGAGACTAAGGCCATCTTTGCAGAGTCTGGATGGCTAAATCTGTTCAACGGCTGGGGGAAGGCACCAGACATTTGATTTTGGCTTCAAGTTCAAATCACTTTCTCAAATCCAATTTTATCAGCAATAAAGCTGGTTGCCTGATGTCCATCTGCTGCCTCATTAGTAGAGGGATTTAGTTGTCAGGAAGAGGCAGGCCTGTACCCAACCCATCTTCCTTCCTCCCCAGGAAAATGGTTGGCTAACCTCAGGGCTCTTAGAACACTCTTCCTTCCTAAAAACAAAGAGAACTCAGATCACCTTGGAGGAGAACCATGTAGTGGGGAGGAAGGTTGAAGCTGTGGTCCTGACTTTATCCACAATCTTTCCCCTCTCTTCTGGGTTCTCACCTATTCTCTCTGTTAACATCATCTTGGCCCCAGTGTGGCCAAATGACTCTTGGACACTTGAGACAAGACTGGAATGTTTCAATAAAAACTGAAATTGGGGACTAGACACACTGAGTCACATACAACTAGATAATCTGGCTAATGACTTGGAGTTCACTAATCTTCAGTCTGTTGCCCATCACAGGGTCCTCTCCTCCCAGGTCCCTGTTTCCCCTGGGCGGTGCATGGCTTTGTGATGCCCATCACCAAGGAGGATGTGTATGGAAGCGTTTGTCAGTTTATGCTGTATACTATTCTAGATACTTGAAATGTGTCTTTTGAAAAGAATTAAAGTGAGGAGTACAAATACACTTTCAGACCTCCACTATCTAGCACTTTCATCCATTAACACTGCCCTCAATCACATTAAATAGCACTTAGAGTGCATTACTTAAAAAATAACAAATAACTTGACCTATGCCTTCTTATCTTAAAATGTTGGTTCTCGGCTTGAATAAAGAATAATGGGAGCACACTAAGCTGTTATTCAAAAGTAATGGCCAGGAAAGTCATGCCATGTCCATGGATGGGAAGACTCAACATAGTAAAGATGTCGACTCTTTGCACATTGATCTGTAGACTTACTGCAATCCCTGTTAAAAGCTCAGCAAGGTTTTATGTAGACATGCACAAGATTACTTTAAAATTTATATTGAAAGACCTTAAAACAGCTAGAACAATCTCGAAAAGAGAATGAGGTGGGAGAAATCACTCTACTTGATATTAAGGTCTACTACATGCTTATAGTATTTAGAACATGTGGTGTTGGTAGAGGGATAGGCACATAGATCATTGGAACAGAATAGAGAACACAGAAATAGACACATACAAATATGCTCAACAGATTTTTCACAAAGGTGAGAAAAACAGTCCAATGGAGTGAAGATAGTCTTCTCAACAAAAGGCGGTGGAACTACTGGGCATCCATTGGCAAGAATAAATAAATAAATAAATGTTGACCTAAACTCACACCTTATTAAAAATTAACTCAGTATGGATCATGGGCTTAAATGTAAAACATAAAACTACATAGTTTTATGTTCTTCTAAAACTTTTTAGAAGAAAACAGTTGAAAACCTTGGGGATCCAGGGCTAGGCATAAGAGATTTTACACTTGACGCATCTAGGAGACTGCATACAGATGGGGGTGGGGCTGGGGCATACAAGGCAATTGGCTTTTCAAGGCTTGGAGATCTTTCCTTCTCTTTCTACCGGGCAGTAGAGAAGCAACGAAGCTTGGTGCTTTCCATTTCAAACTGAACATTATACATATGTGACCACATGCCTTCATTCTTTTCCATCCCTAGAACCCTGGACTCTGAAGGCTTATCAGTTCTGGTCCCCAAGGTGGACACACTTACCTGGAAACCCAGCAAGGGGCCCATTGAACTACACCTTGTGCTGTCTGGGCACTTTAGGATTCTTATGCCCAGGAGCCAGTAAGCAAGAAGAGGGGTGTGACCATCTTGTCAGGGTCAATTGGAGAGGTAGGGGGCCTTTCACACAGTGGGAACAGAGAATTATATGGATGGCACTCAGGTGACCCACATGGGTACCTCCTGGTACTTCTTGCCCAACTATGTCTGAGAATGGACAAACACAAGCAACCTCACCCCAAAAAGGATATAGTTACCAAGGGCTCAGACTCCCAGGAATGAGGATTTGGGTCATGGCATTGGGTGAGCCATTGAGATCAGTAGAAGAGGTGGCAGAGGGCAAGGAAAAGCTGGAATAGATAGTGAAGGAGGAAGACTATGAGAATCAGTTGTGGCCCTGAGACCGACTGCAGCAACAGAGGCTGTACTGGTCCTACTAACCTACCTCTTCTAAGTTTGCCTTCAGGGCATCCATGCAACTTTGCAGTAACCACCCAAACTTATTACCCTTGTGTTTAGCATTCCTCCAATGCGTTTCAAATGCCTGAATCATTGCACTAGTCAACACACCATCCCAGCTCACCACTGGAGAAGCTTAACAATTTAGCAAGCACCTTGCACCAAGGGCTGTCTGCACGCCATCTCCTTACCACTCAGGTGTTGGGTGATCCAGTCCTAAAACCACATCTGAGAGCCACCTTCTCAGACCACTCCTGGTGCCAACTTGGATCCTATGGGGACCAGATATCCAGAGAGAGTCAGGAGTGGGAAAACTTTCTTGGGAAATAAGACCTGCAAGAGGAAAACTGGAGGAAGCAGATGGGACAGGGAAAGACTGCAGATCACAATGTAGACCTGACAGGGTCTCCGCAGACCAACAGAGAGTCCGAAACAAAGGTTGCAGGCTAGAGGAGTCCTCTGTGGGCAGAAATGGGTAGGCTTTGTGCCCCTGCCTTGTTTAGTCACTGGACAGGGGCTTCCCAAAGAAGAGGGCTTGAAAGCAGTGGCAAACCCTGAAAGAACAAACTGGGGGCTGTCACAAACCATGCTCCTCAAAGATGCACAGAGTGGATCCTTTTTTGGAGTGGGATCTGAATGTGCATGCACTCCACCCTGCCATCGGGGGGCACACTCTTCTCATAGCAGACAGGCACAGCAGAGCAAGTCCAACTGCACCAGCAGGTTTCTTTTAATTGCATGTCGTGTCTGCTAAGGCCCAATTGGCTGGAGCCAATCAGGTGGTCTACCCCAAAGCTAAGGGTCAGGGAGGCATACTCCTCCCACCATGCGGTCATGCAAGGGAGGGTAGGCTACAGGGCAATGAGAGATTGGGGCCAGTAATTAGATCCGCACGGGAGAAAGGCCCTTTGGAAACTGTGAGTTCAGGCCACATTAGTTGCTATAATTACCACCTGTCCAGGAGACAAGGTACCCCAGGCCAAGGAGTGCCATAGACAATCCTCAGCAAGGACTATCGCTTGACTAAAAACCAAAAACTTGGTAACTGGAAGTCAGCACTGCAGTTTCAGGATGGGAAAGGCCACACGAAGCACAGAACGACAACCACGCCATCCTCCCAAAGCCCCTGCCAGGCAGCTCCGGGGCTGGCCCGCATGGCGGATCAATAGCAATTTGGGGCACTAGGGAGGGCGCCATCTGAGTAGCTCGGATGAACTGAACGTGATGAGTTGCCGGCTGCTTCCTGAGTCCTTGGGGAAGCGCTCGCACCATGCACTTAGCGCTGGAGCCTGGCCATTCTCCGAGCACTCCCACCCCCTCTTCCTGCCTGGATGCTCCTGCCTCTTCCACCGGCTCCTGTCCTGCGTGCTCCAGGGAGGATGGAGGCTTCAGGCCAGGTCGGGAGGCGCTGCCCAGAGGCCCTGGGGAAGCTCTTCCCTGGCTTCTGCTTCCTCTGCTCCTTGGTGACCTACGCGCTGGTGGGCGCCGTGCTCTTCTCTGCCATCGAGGGCGGCCAGGTCCTGGGGCCAGCAGAGGACCGAGAGTTTGAGGCGTTCTTGGGGGAGCTCTGCAGCATCCTGGAATGCAACAGAACAGGTAGGTGCCTCGCCTGGGCAGGGCGGGCCTTTTCTTCCTGGTGGAAGCAGCCCCGGGGGGCAGAGGGCTACCTTGTAGGAGGCTGGGTCTGGGAGCTGCCTGCTTTGGTCCTCCCCATTCCTGGGCACCTTAGGCAAGTGACTTCTCTCTGAGCCTCAGTTTTCTCCTCTGAAAAGTGCGGAGACTAAAGGCCTCTCAGGGTTGCTGTGAAGAATGTAGGAAAAGCACTGAGCACCCAGTAGGTGCTCTGGAAAGATGAGCTCCATTTCCTTTGCCCCAGCTCCCAGCCCCAGTCAGACCCGCAGGCTCTGGGGAGGGTGGGTTGCTGGAGATTGGGTGGTGTGGGGTGGATGGGTGAGCACATCTGGGGCTGGGTGTTCCTAGGCTGGTCCTCAGAGCTATGCCAGACCTAGGATTCGTTTTACAGGGACTAGAATTCAAGGAACAACCCAAACGGGACTTGGGTGTCTGGGACGAGCTGCTCACCCCCCACTCTCCCATGTCCTTTTTCAAAGGCCTTTTCTGGTGTCTGGCTCAGGGGAGGGGGAGGTGCTGTGAGAGTTGGGAGCCTGGTCCTGGTCCCCGCTGCTCTCCCAGCTCGCTGAGCGACCAGTGGAGGCAGAGCCCGTGCCCTCTCTTAGTCTCAGTCTGTGGAGAGAAGAGGACCTCCCATCTCTAGCCTGCCAGTCACAGGGACCCCATGGGAAGCAGAGGAGACAAGGGACATGCAGCCTCTTGGAAGACAGAGGCTCCTCATATGTATCCTCACTGCACTTCACTTGTATTTAGTCACTTGCCTCTGCTCTGTTCACCAAAGGGAGCTTGCAAAGATATATTCAACAGAGCAAGATAAAAGAAGTGGGGGCAAATAAAGAAAAGACAAGGGGAAAGCAGCCTCTAAAAGTCAGGGGAAGAACAGGGTGCAGGAGCTCCTGTCCCCCTCCCGGGGAACAGCAGGTGCTTAGCCACCTGCTCCCAGCTCCTCCCACAGGCCAGACCTTGCTCTGGGAGCAGATCCAGCTCCCAAAGACCAGAGGCTGCAGAGAGGCAGGGTCTCCCCTCCGTGGAGGGTCCTATTCCCTGCACACTGGCCAGACAGACACAGGCTTACTCGGTGGACCAGGGAGATGCCGTTGCTGCCCAGGGGGCATTCTGAGTCATTATATAGGGTCTAGACTGCCAGCAAGTTCAAGGCTCTCCAAACCAGCCCATGCAGTGGAACCATCCAGGGAGCTTGTCTAAAATACACATTCCCAGGCTCTTCCTCATATCCACTTAATCAGGATCTCCAGGCCTGGGCTGGGAATTTTTTAAAAAAGTTTCCCAGGTGAGTCTGATGCACAGCAGGGCGCAGGAACCCAGAGCTGGTCCAACTCCACCTTGTGCTGATTTTCATCGGAGATTAACATGCTCAATGGTACTAGTTAAGAGTAGATCCTGCGCCAAACCTTTTCACACAGTATCTCACTTAATCCTCATAAGAACCCTATAAATTGGGAATCAATTGGCCCTCTTTTCCAGATTAGATGAGACACTGGGAGGTTAAGCAGTTTGCCCACGTTCACAAGCTAGAAAAAGTGGAGCCTGGAATTCAGCCCCAAGCACTTAAACTCCAGAGCATGAGCCTTTTTACCACCATATCATGCTGCTTCCCCCATGGGGAAACTGAGGCTCTGAAAGAAGCCTCTTGTCCACGGCCACTGGAACTTGTCAGGGTCGGGGCCAAGGGGTCTAGAATGCAGGTGTAGGGACTCTCAAGCTGGTGCTCATTCAAATGAGGAGTGACATCCTGCTGTGCATCAGGTTCAGTGCCATCTGCTTCTGACCATACCAGAGACTGGAAGGTGGCTTCTGGGGTCCCAAAGCCCACTGGCCCCCCATGCCAACAGAACCATTTGAGAATCTCCCTGAGAAGCCAGGGTTCCCATCCCTGCTCTCTTGGTCCCGGGACTGAAGTTTTGGAAGTGAAGGTTTCCCAGCCCTGAAGGAGACATTCTCAGGCAGCTGGCACCCAACGATCACAGTGTGATGACCACACTCCGTCAGAATCAATGACCTTCAGGAGTGGGTGCGATGTGTATCCATGTACCAGCTTGCATTTCATAAAAGCATTTTTGCTTTCAATTCTCAAGAACTCCATGAGAAGGGCAGAGCAGAAGTTATCTCCCTTTGAAAAGTCAAGGAAACAGAGGTTTGGAAAGATCAGAAAACCCCCCAAAGCCGCACAGCAATTCCAGGGCTGAGCTCAGGCCAGACCCCACGGGTCCCTCAGATAGGTGCTCCTCTCATGGGGCTACGTGGCCTCCTAATCTTCACGGGGACCAGCAGCAGGACCTAAGCTGGAGAGGCATTTTAAAGGAGGGCTTTGGGCACCAAGCTCAGTGTTGATGGGGACCACAGGGCAGGCGGGTGGCTGGTCCTTGGGGCAGACTCTGTCCCCTTTGCCTGGGCGGGGCCTGTCTTGAAGATGAGGACCCCACCTGACGCTGCTCGTGTCTTTCTCGAGCTGTGGAAGGCAAGAAACAGGACCTCCAGGAGCATCTGCGCAAGATGAAGCCCCAGTGGTTTAACAGGTCCGCAGACTGGTCCTTCCTGAGCTCGCTCTTTTTCTGCTGCACAGTGGTCAGCACCGTGGGTAAGTGCAAGGGCGAGGGCGCCCGCCCGTGGCCTCCTCCGGCCACAAACCGCAGCCTGGGAGGGAGATGTGGGGGAGAGGGTGGAGCCAGAGGGGGGCTGGGGACCTCTTGGTGGACACACTGGAACATATGATCTATTTAATACAAGAAACGAGGCTGGTGTGCTTACCCTGTGCCAGGCCTACTGTGTGCAGGTGGGCACTGTGCCCAGCACAGGAGGACAGCAGTGAGCAGGGCTGTGCCGCTGGCCTGTGAGTCACCTTTGTGCAAGTTAGAAAAGCACATCCTTCCTTCAGGTGGGTGCAACCCCGTGCCAGGCGTAGGCCCCATGAGCAAGGCATCTGGCCCCTTCTTGCGGCCCCGACTGAGTGCTCTTATACATGCCTGACCTGGCTGGGACCAGGGCAGATGTGGCCCTGGCCCTCATGGAGCCTACAGGCTCCTGGGCAAGACAGAAGTGTTTGAGGACAACCAGATGAGGTCAGTGTGTGACAGTGATGTGCTCGGGGTTTCTGGGAGAGAGTCGGGCCTTGGGGATGATCTGAGTGGTGAGGATATTTTCAAAGCCACCCTCACAGCCACACACCCTCCTTTTGGTGGTCACACAAAGGACAGCCTCCTCAGTGACAGGGAACACTGGACCTGGGGTGAGGAGATGCCCACCCCTCTCCCCTCCCCTCCTCTCCTCTCCGCCCTCCCCTCCTCTTCCCGTCCTTCCAAAAATCTCTATTGAACACCCACAAGCAGCAGCAGCTGCGCTGGCCGACACTTCTGCACTTCAGAGGCACCAGGCTGTGTTCTAAGTTCTTCATGCTGATTAGCTCATCTAATCCTCATCACGGTTAGGTGCTGTTATTGTTTCCACACCCGAGATGGGGAAACCGAGGCACCTGTGGTCAGCCAGTTTTGAATGGTCTCACAGCTCAGTTAAGCCCAGGCTCCTATGCACGACTTTCCGCATACCTGGCACCTAGGAACTGGCCGGCCCCTCCCTGCCCTGGTGAGGCTCTGGTCTAGTGGACAGGGACTGTCACTACTAACACACAGGCCGACAATCACCAACGCTGGTGAGCGTTCCTGAGGTGCAGCTTGGGGCCATGGGAGCAGGTAAAACAGGATGAGGGTCCTGATTTGTCTGGGAGGAGGAGCTGGGTTGGGAGGATCAGCAGACATTAACGAGGCAAAGAACCGAGAGCTTTCCAGGTAGAGGAGAGAGTGTGGGCAAAACTCCAGGGCTTGGTGGCCATTTGAGGACAAAAGCATCATGGCTGGAGGACAGAGCATGGGCAGGAGAGTTGGGCCTCCTGGGCTGGGGGCACGAGGCTGGTCTTGCACTTCGGTGCGGTGTACCTGGACCAGCAGTGACTCAGGGCCCTGAAGTAACTAAGGGCCTCCAAGCTGGCCTGCCCGTGCCCAGCTTCCGTCCTGCTGGTGCGGCAGGGCGAGCCGGGTTGGAGGGGCAAACCAAGCCTGCGGGGGCGCAGGCCACACAGGGCAGAGGTGGGGGAGCTGCCCTCAGTCTCAAGGCAGGAGCTCCCGGGTCAGGGCCCTCACCAGGAGTGTGGCCTATCACCCAGCCCCTGCCCCACTTGGCCAGCAAAAAGCACTGAGGCCCCTCTCTTCATTCAAGAGAGCAAAGGTGCCGATCTGATCCCTGGGAGGGCTCTACCCATAGGTGTCACAGGGCTGCGGCTGGGTCCCCTCACGCCCAGGGTGGTGGTGGAGCACAGTGGCCAGCTGTGGACTCTCTAGGTGGACTGTGTAATCTCCAGCGAGGGACATAGTCCCTCTGAGCCTCGTACCTGGGCCCATAGCCTCCTAGACCTGCCTCTCGGGGTCTGAGTGAAGTCAGCTGGTGACTGTGTACGTAAGTGGCAGCTGGGATTCCTTCAGCTGCAACTAACAGAAAGCCCAACTGACTGGCTTAAACTGCAAGGAAGGTGTGCTACTTCACAAGTAAGAAGTCCAGTGGGAGGTCAGCTCTGGGGCTGACGTGCACTCAGTCATGGCATTGCGCATCAACTTTTTTCCATCCTTCTGTTCAGTAGGTCACAAGAAGCCACCAAGGTCCACATCCCATCCGAACATACCCACATCGTATAGAGAAAGGGGCTGCCATCTCTTTCCAGAGGTGTCATAAGCAGCCAGGATTTCCTTCCAGAGGGCCCCAGTGGGCTCCTACCCAGCCCAAAGCCAGTCCCTGGCGGGGGGTGGGGGTGGATTGGATCACCAGGATGACCAAGACCAATGGGATCTACTCCTAAATCAGGTGGGGGAGCAATGGCATTGCAGAGGGATGGCCATGGGGTGGCACTCAGTCTGCAGCGCTATGCTTCATAAACTGGCCAGAGCCCCAGGAGAGCTCGTATGGCCCCCACGTGGCTTCTCTCGCTGGCCTGAATGCTGACACGGGTGGGGCAGGTAATGAGCAGAATATGACAACAGCTACAATATTCACCTGCTGGGCATGGGGTCATGTGTGCTAACATGCTGCATCATATTTAATTCTCACCACAACCCAGGAGGTAGGTGCTGTGACGGTCCCACTCCACAGATGGGTGAGCTCAGCTCTGAGACAGAATCACTGCCGGGAGTCAGAGGCAAGGCTGAGGTCGGGCCCCCAAGTTGGTCTTTCCAGGGGACCCATAGCTCAGGGAACACTTTGAGGGAACAGCAATTCCAGGCGAGCAGCAACTGCAAGACAAACCCTGGAGATGAGCAGGAGGCTGAGAGTTATGGGGTTTACTTTGTCTTTTTCCTTTCTTCAGCTTGGCACTGCTGGCCTCGTGGGCTGGATAATTCCTGGCTGGGGGATGCCCTGTGCATTGTAGGAGGTTGAACAGCATCTCTAGCCTCTACTCACTAGGTGCAATAGCATTTCCCCACTGTCCCCAGCCACTGTGGCAGCCAGAAATGTCTGCAGACATTGCCCCATGTTGAGAACAACTGCTAGATTGCAATGGTTGTCAAAGTGTGGTCCCAGAGCAGTAGAGTCAACATCACTGAGGAATTTGTCAGAAATGCAAATTAATTCTCAGGCCACATCCTAGACTGGCTGAGCCAGAAACTATAGCTGTGGGGCCCAGTAACCTGTGCTTTAAAAAGTTCTCATGCTATTCTGATACCTGCTAACGTTTGGGAAGCCCTAACCCAGGGGTCCTCAAACTTTTTAAACGGGGGGCCAGTTCATCATTCCCCAGACCGTTGGAGGGCTGGACTATAGTTAAAAAAAAAAAAAAAAAAAACTATGAACAAATTCCTATGCACACTGCATATATCTTATTTTGAAGTAAAAAAACAAATGGGCAAAAACACCCGTATGTGGTCCTCGGGCCGTAGTTTGAGGACGCCTGCCCTAACCTAATGCATGGTCCTCAGCCCTGGCCACACGTCAGAATCACCTGGAGAGCTTTCCCAAGCTTCCAGCCCAGACCCCCGCCCAGACCAATCACATCACAATCTCTCGAGACTGAGCCCAGGCATCAGTATTTTTCAGAGCCCTTCAGGTGATTCTAATGGGAGTCCAGACTGAATCACTGATCTAATGGAAATGCATTAGCTTGGTTTAAATTCCAAGAAAGCGATGCTACTACCCATCGTACGAGCCAATTAGGACATCATGCTGCCCAGTAATTACAACTGGAAGAGGATGTTGGGGAATGTTCTGCATTGCCCATAATCAATACTGTGTTTGAAAGTCCCTCTGGTAATACTGCTTCCCGCCCTGCAGCTCTGGGTCAGCTGAAGTGCACCTGGCCTTGGAGGCCAAGACTGGGATAACTGACAGGTGTGAGGCCGGTGGGTCCTCAGCCATTCCCGACTGTCAGCCCCCTTGGATTAAAAAGGAAAGCACATGGGCTATTAAATACCCACAGGCTAAGTGCAGTGAAATGATTGTATCAGAATATATGAATGCATTATAAGAAATGATATGAGTTTCCATTATGCATTTCAGCATTCAGTAATGAGGACAGTTAATACATTCCTTCCGTAGGGGCTGTGTGTTCTCTGAGACTCGCTTCCTTGATACATTTTCTGCAAGGTGGCATATCTCTTGTGCTGTAAACACATCTCACCCAGAGCCAGCCACACAGGCTCTTCTTCCTTTGTAACCATGAAACCCACCTTTGCCAAGAAGAGCAGTGGATTCAGAAGTGCCTGGTCTGTGCTCAAATCCCCAGCTTTTCTGACACCCCAAGTTCAAACCATCCCCCTGCCCTGCTGAAATTTCTGCCCACATTGATGTCTAGCCAGTCCCCACGCTTCTTTCCTTCTTTCAGCTGCCACCTTAGCCAGAGCCCCATCATCTCCCACCTGGGCAGGTGCCATGGCCTCCCTACTGGTCTTGTGTCCACCTGGAACCCTCTAATTTACTCTCTGTGGGTCAGCCAGAGTGATCTTTGCAGGTGCAAACCTGCTTGTGTTAGTTTCTGGTGGTTGCTGTAACAAACTCCCAGTAATTCTGCTGCTTAAAGTAATAGCAATGTATTCTGTCAAGTTCTGGAGGCCAGGATCAGTTTCACTGACTTCACACATCAAGGGGTTGCCAGAGTATGCTCCTGCTGGAAGCTTTAGGGGAGGAGCCCTCCTTGCCTCTCCCAGCTTCCGGGGGCTGCCAGCTCTCCTTGATTTGGGTCTGCATCCCTCCAGTCTCTGCCTTTGGGGTCCTATTGCCTCTTCTCTGTGTGTAGACTCTCGCTCTGCCTCTCCTTAACATGGACACTTATGGCATTTAGGGCTCACACAGATAATCCAAGATAATCTCCTCATCTCAAAGTCTTCAGTCACATCTGCAAGGGCCCCCTTCCCAGATAAGGTAGCAGCCACAGATTCTGGAAATTAGGACTTGGATATCTTTATCAGGGGGAGGGTGTGGTTTTTCAGCCTACCACACTGATCAAGGCACACCCCCATCTGTCACGTGACCACGCCCACCTTTAGACCACACCCCTCTCCCCCGGCCTCACCTTCCTGCCTCCCTGTGCTCTGACCACACTGTCCTTCTCTCAGTTCCTTGAACCAGGGTGACAGCTGCACCCTAGGTGACACCTTGATGAAAAATTAGAAAATCACATCCCCTTTAGGCAGACACAACCCTGTGCCCTGAGCCCTGCTCACAGCTTGGTAAATGCACCACAGGCTACATTGCAGCTTCCAGGCGTTCCCTCGTATGTGCAGTATACAAGTTGTCCCACCCTAGGAACAGCCCTTTCTTGAACTTTCCAGGGGCCTTTGCACATGCTGCTTTTGCTCTCTTCACCTGGCTAACTCTCGGTCCCACTCCCAATCTCAGCTCAAGAGTCACCATACCGGGAAATCTTTCCTGAGCCTTAATCCAGGATGTGTGCCTTTGTTCTAGTCATTCGTAGGACAGTCAGCTTTTGCACTTCTTGTTATTGATCTCCGTTTGTAATTGCATACTCTTTATGGTGGTTTTTCGATTAATATCTGCCTCTCCCACTAAACCAGAGGCTCAGGGAGGTTGGATTCCTTATCTACTTTGCTCACTACGTGTCCCCAGTGCATGCGTTAAGCACTCAATAACTATTCGTTGAGTGAGTGACTACGCACACACCCATCAAGTGGTGCCTGTTGGAAACAGCCAGAGTGGTGTTAAGTACCCTGGGACAGATGCAAACTGGTGAGACCCTTGGAGGGCCACAGCTCCCTGCCCACCCTTGGGATCCTGGCGAGGGTGGGCAACCTGAATGCCTGCATATTCCGAGAGGTCAGAGCCTGAGACCAGTTTGCCACTGGGAGCTGCAGTCCTGGAGGTGGTTGGGGCTTAGCCAGCCCAGCAGTTGCCTTCAAATTAATTTACATAATTGGGCTGGGATTTTCCTGTATTAATCACCCTTTATAACATCAAAAATTAATCACAGGCATTAAATCCAAAAGCTCTTTCATCTGCTTGTTGAAGTCATTGAAGCTTGCCTGCTCCAGAAGACCCAACCACCTGTGCTGTGGGGTTGGCTGCCTCTCTGCTCCTGTCCCTTTACAGATGAAAGGGGAGGGGTGGGGGAGAGGTGGCAGGAGGAGGGACTCCTGAAGAGTGCAGAGACCTCAGCCTGCCCCTCCTTTTGCTTGCTGTACTGGTTCTCAGTGGCTCTCATTGGTTGAGAGCACTGGCTCGGGAGCTGGAGAGCCCTGTGGGTTTGACTCCCAATTCCACTATTTAGCACATGTATGCTCTTGGCCAAGCCACTTCATCTCCCCATCTGAGAATGGTGATAAAAATACCTATGTTTGAAGATTGAGTGATCCCTAGCCCACAGTAAGTGCTCAATAGGCAGCTATTTTATTAGCTCTCAAGGGCGAGATGCCAACATTTATCAATCGTCTGCTGTGTGCCAGGCAAGAGCCTCATGTGATCCTCCCAGCTAGTCAATATATAAACTAGGGATTGTCATCCCTGTTTTGTAATTAAGAGTCCTGAAAATGTAAGCAGTCAAGTAACATTCTTATAAATGGCAGAGCTGAGGTTCACACAAGGTCGGTCAGATCCTAGAGGTTGGGATGCCAATGACTTCACTGTCATTTATGAGCGTGTTTGCCAATCTGCTAAATCACAAATGGCTCTGAGGGCAGCAATTGTACTCATCTTCCATCTTTCTATGTCCCTAATACCATGCACACTGCTGTGTACACTACTAGCACATAATAGGTGCCTCTTATATAGAAACGAATATACTGAGAGGCCCCAGACATCCCATGGAGGACAAAGGTGGCTTCTTAAAAGCTGGCACCTTCATGGAGGGCGAAGAAGGCAGTGGGTATGATGGCAAACCTGTCCAGCCCCACTCACCTGTGCTCATCCCATCCTTCCAGGTGAGCTGAGCCCATCCTCTTGGGGACACTTAGAAATGGCCATGGCAGAATGAAAGGCAATCAGTTCACCCCCAAACCTGTGCTTGTGCCCTGCCAAGGACAGTTCAGGTCAAAGATCTGGATGTGAGTTGCTCCTGATCCTAAAGGGAAGATGGGTTTCACTCCCCACCCCTCCCTACCACCAAAGCAGGCCTAATGCCAGGCAGGTGCATGAATGCCTTGAGATGAATATTTTCAAACATAGTGTAAAATGTCAAGCTAAGGAGGAGAAATGGCAGAAGGTTTCTCTGAAGCTGCTTGTGGGGTGGAGGGAAAGTGACAGACAACAACCCTAGATTCTTCTTTTTCAGGTTACGGCCACATCTACCCTGTCACCAGGCTCGGCAAGTACGTGTGCATGCTCTATGCTCTCTTTGGTATCCCCCTGATGTTCCTGGTCCTCACTGACACAGGTGACATCCTGGCAACCATCTTATCCACATCCTATAATCGATTCCGAAAACTCTCTTTCTTCACCCATCACCTCTCCAAGGGGTGCTCCCAAGTGCTGTGCGGGAGGAAGCCTGACCCCCGGCCTGCAGACGAAGCCATCCCTCAGATCACCATCACCGCTGAAGAGCTCCCGGGCCCCACGCCCGGCAAGTGTCCTTCAGCCCCAAGCCGCAACACAGAGCTGTTTGAGAGATTTCTCGCACAAGACAAACATAACGCACTGCAACTGTCCCCGCAGGCCATCGAGAGGAGTACCTCGTGTCCCGAACTGGTGTCGGGGAGACTCTCATACTCCGTCATCAGCAACCTGGATGAGGTTGGCCAGCAGGTGGAGAGGCTGGACGTCCCTCTCCCCATCATTGCGCTCGTTGTTTTTGCCTACATTTCCTGTGCAGCTGCCATCCTCCCCTGCTGGGAGACGCATCTGGACTTTGAGAGTGCCTTCTATTTCTGCTTTGTCACGCTGACCACCATTGGGTTTGGGGATACCGTTTTAGAGCACCCTAACTTCTTCCTCTTCTTCTCCATTTATATCATCGTTGGAATGGAGATTGTGTTCATTGCTTTTAAGTTGGTACAAAACAGACTGATTCACATCTACAAAAGCCTCATGCTATTCTTTGCAAAAGGGAAGTTTTACCACCTTGTTAAAAAATGAAGGCTCCATCATCTCTCAAGTAAAAGACACTGGCTGAACTGGTTTTTTTGCCTTATCTTTTAGGGCAGTGTGGTTAGACCAGTGGCAATGCAGCCTGTCATGGAGACCTTGAGGCTTGGAGACAAATCCTTCACGAGAGCTGAGTTCAGTCTTGAGGCCCCACAGAAATCTGGCCAGTGCCTTTTGTATCAGACATTAGGAATAAAACTACCACCATTCTCCAAACTCTAATTAATTTCCCTGTCCTCATTTTTTAAAAGCATTATCTTATGTAGATACAACCTTATGGATGTCACTGATTTTCTTGTGACACAAGAAAAAAAAAAAAAACCTTAATTCTTGGAATTTGTACTTTCAGATAAATTAAAATCTTCTTGGGCTGCTCCAGGTTATCTTTGATGAAAAATGGCTGGTTTGGGCAACCTCTGTTTTCGAATGGCTGCATGAATACATGTAAGACCAGCCTCTTCCCAGCCCATGTAAAATAAATGGATGCCAGACATCACCAAGATGATGAAGTACAAGCAATCTGACTTCATTCTCCCCAACATAACCCCAGACAACTGTCCAATGCCAAGATTATAACCACTGACAGCCCAGAACTTAAAACTGAGGCTGTGACAACCCTGGAGCCACAGACACGTGAAAAACTGAGTGGGAGTTGGGAGAAAGGGACTCCTCTATCCGTGATGCCCCTCCCTCAAGTTGCAAGGCACCATGTGGAGAAGCCCCCCAAACTCACAGCTTCTAACTCACAGATCAGTGTCTGGAGAGGGAACCCTGAAAGACAGATCGTGGAGATGGAGCTAGTAACCCCAGTGTGTGAAACTCAAGGGCTGCTCTCCCATCTCAGATAAAGACAATGCTAAATCAGAGAGGCAGTTCAGCAGCAGCATGTTGTAAGAGGTGCTATCCACAGATCCTCTGGGTGTGAACCCCTATCCAACTCCTCACACAGCTAAGAATCCTAACTTTTGAGAGCTGCAGCAAACCCGGGCTTAGGGCACCACCTAGTGCCAAAAAGGAGGCAGCAACCAAAGTCTAAATAAATCAATAGTCAAATTACACAGGACCTCTGAATATATACACTAGAGAGACCAAACCAACTCAAGACAGCAAAGACTGGAACAAATAACTCTCAATGGAAAGACATAGATGTACATCTACAAGAAACAGTAAATAGAACCATGATCTCCCCAAATGGACAAAGCAAGGAATCAGGAAACAACTCCAACAAGATGGCAATTATGTGAGCTCTCAGATCAAGAATTTAAAATAGCAATCTCAAGGAAACTCAGCAAACTCCAAGATAACACAGAAAAATAATTCAGAAATGTATCAGAAATTTGAGAAAAAGATTGAAATAATTTTAAAAAATCAAACATAAATCCTGGAACTGAGAAATGCATCAGAGGGTCTCAACAATAGAATTGATCAAGCAGAAGAAAGAATTAGATTAAAGACAGGTTGTTTGAAAATACACAGGGAAAAAAGAAAACAGTATGAAAAAGGAATGGAGAATATTTACAAAATTTAGAAAATAACCTCAAAAGAACAAATCTAAGAGTCACTGGCTTTTAAGAGGGAATTGAGAAATAGCAAGGGATAGAAAGCTTATTTGAAGAAATAATAACAAAAAACTTTCCAAACATAAAGATATAAATATCCAGATACAGAAAGGTCAAAGATCATCAAATAGATGCAACCCAAATGAGACTACCCTAAGGCATATAATAATCAAACTCTAAAAGGTCAAGGACAAAGAGAGGATCCTAAAAGCAGCAAGAGAAAAGAAGCAAATAACATATAAAGGAATTCTGATTTGTCTGGCAGCAGACTTCTCAGCAGAAACCATAGAGGCCAGGAGGGAGTGGGGTGATATATTCAAAGTGTTGAAAGAAAAAAAAAATCCCTGGCAACTGAGAATACTATACCCAACAAAACTATCCTTCAAACATGAGGGAGAGATAAAGACTCTTCCAGACAAAGAAACAAACAAAAGCTGATGTAATTCATCACCACCAAACCTGTTTTACAAGAAACACTAAAGGGAGTTCTTCAACCTGAAAGAAAAAGACACTAATGTGCAACTAGAAATCATCTGAAAGTTTAAAATTCACTGGTAAAGTAAATACACAGGTAAATTCAGAATACTCTACCACTGTAATAGTGGTGTGTAAACCTCTCCTATCTCTAGTATAAAAATTAAAAGAAATATACCCCAAATAATAATAGTTTGTTCAGAGATAGGCAATAGATAAAAAGATATAAACTGAGACAACAAAAAGACAAAATGTGGGGAGATTAAATTAAATTTTTTAGTCTTTTCTTTCTGTGTGATCAAAGTTATTTGTTCAAAATAACTTGTTCAAAGATTTTTTTGGTAAGCCTTTTGGTTACCAGAAAGCAAAAACCTATAAGAGATACACTAACAATGAAAAGCAAGAAATGAAAATATACTAATAGAGAAACTCACTTCAAATATACTGATACCACTCGGTGGAATTGCCACCTATGTTCACAGGGGCCTGGGATATTTTCCAGTTGCCAGATTCTATGTAGACCACCTTTCTTACCAATTGGCACATGGATGGTGCCTCCTGAATGAGTTGGCATGTGAAAGTCTTGATGCCTAAATGAATGGATTAGTATGTGAAAAGGTTGGCACTTGTTGGGTGGACACACTCTTGAGCTGTTCACAGATGGGTTGGCGCGTGAATGGGCTGGTCTGTGTAGCAGTTTCCATAGGTGCCTCACCCATACACCCTGGCACTCCAACTCCCTTTACCTGAGGACTGTCCCTGGCCATGAGAGCACAAGCATGTACAGTGCCAGCTAGAAGTGCCAAGGACTTAATGCTTCTGGGAGCAGCCCTCAATCAATGCCTAATGGGAGCCGGTGGATATAAGGTGCCCAGCTTCCTTGCTTCTCCTGTGGAATAACTCTGGGACATATTTAATACTGTCTTTCCAGATTCCTCCATGGACTTGAGCCTCAGTTACTCAATAGCACACCCTGTATTGGCCGCCTCCATCTCCCTGTCTCACTTCTTCACTGCTCTGCTGAGGTTTCCTGAGACTATCTCCTAAAGAACCCATGTGTAATCAAACCTTGTCTCAGAGCCACTCCTGGGGACCCCAGCCCAGGAGAGGATGTAAACAAGTCAGTATATAAATGGGTTGACACATGCATGGAATAACACAAGTCTTTTACTAGTTCCCTCGTTGGTTATTAGAAATGTTTTACGACTAGATCTTGCTTCTTTGAAAGAATATTGCAAAAATCAATCTGTGTTCTGTGATTAGCAGAATTAGTCCCTGAGTAAATGGAGAACTTTGCTATAGTGTGTAGCATAAAAATTGCAAGAACCAAGGAAAAATGCCGGGAGATTACAGTTTGAAAAACAAAAGGAGCACCTGTCTTTTAAGGCTTCTTCATTCTGTTGTCGTAGGTTCTGGCCAGTGCCAAGGGCTGTCTCTCAGAGGGGCCTTAGGTCTCTCTTTCTGCATCTTTCCCCCCTTTCCCCACAACTAGTAGGTTTTCTGCCCCTTCGATCCTTGAAGACCTACCTTTGGCAATGGAATCGACAAGGTGTGAGCAAGAATCAGTGCAAAACATGAAGCTCCAATAGTGGGATTTCAGGCAGCAGTTACAGGCACTAGAGGTTTTATGGAGTTTCTTGACATCCTCAGAGCACATTCGCCCAGCTGGAGGACAGCAAAGCCCCTGGAGCCCAAATGCAGTCAACAATGACCCCTCAAGTGGGCGCACATAATGGGGCTAGAAGGCTATTTGACCCATTCAGTAAACTGAGTGTCCAAGATGAATCAGGTCCACCCTCAGAAACATAGAGGTCACTTCATTCCAGGTGGCATGAACTTCCCAGCCACTCCCTTCTTGAGGCAATAGCAAGTTGGGTTGAAATGCAAACACGGTGGTTGTCAGGGATGCACATGATGCAAATTAAAGATCACGCGCAATTGCTCATTTCATTTGCTAGTCAGAATTCTTCCATGGTTCTAAGGAAATGGCATGCCCGAGTGGGTGCACGTGTGAGCACACACACACATCTTGTGTCTTTTTTCATAAGGGCATTAATCCCATTATGGGAGCTCCAACCTCATGACCTCCTTTAAACCTATTAATAATTACCTCCCAAAGGCCCTACCTCCTAATACCATCACATCGGGAGTTAGGTTTTCAACATACGAATTTGGGGAGGATGCATTCAGTCCATAGCACTCTCCAAAATTCAGGCATCATTGGTCTGCGGTGCCACCTGGACACTGGGGTTTTAGAAGGTCTCAGGTGATCCCAACGTGTGGTCAGAATTGAGAACCAGGGCGCTAACTACTCTCCCAGCCTGAAGTGCCTTTCTCCCTGCCAGGCTGGAGGAAGACTTGCCTTCCAGGCTCAGCCCACATGTCACCTCCTCTAGGTAGTGTCCCCTGACTCCTGGAAGTGGCCACCCTTGTCACCTTCATGCTCCCGCTGCAGCCACTGGAACCCCTTCCTCTGTTACAGGATTGTGACAAGGTTCTCACTTTTAATCTCCTCTCTGGACTCTGATCTGCCCAAATAAAGTGTCTTCATCATCACTGTTCTCTCTCCCTTTTATTCTTCAGCAGCCGCCAATACGGGAGAGCTCTGGGTGGGCCTCAGGTGCACACGCTAAGGAGGGCGGCGCCACTTACCCACGCCCGCCACGTGCCAGCCCCTAGCTGGGTGCCGTCTGTTCCCCATCTGAGCCAGCGCTTCCCGCGGCACTGAGAGTTAGGTCCAGTGTCCCCATTTGATAGGTTTAGGAAACTGAGGTCAAGTCTAGTCTGACTCTAAGTCAGTGGTTCTTAGTGGACCAGCAGCCTCGGCGGCCCCCGGGAACTTGTTAGAATTGCAGATTCTCCACCCAGGACCCAGGAATCAGCGCGCTGGGTTTTAATAAGCCCTCCAGGTGATTTGCTGTTTGCTTCAGAATGTTTGATCCCCAAGTTCGAAAACCA